ACAACCAATTGTATTTTTGTTTGACAAACTTAATGTACACATACATACAAAATAACACATATATTTGGGATTGTACAGCTAAGAAAATGAAATCGCCAAGAAGAGACTCTTCGCTGATGTACGTGTTTTCTTTTCATGAATTTTACATTGTAAGACTATCTGATTTTGGATGCGGGAACAATTAACACTGCTTCTGAAGATATACGCAGCGTAACTGATGGCATATCTGTGAATTTTCACTCCTCATGGTAGATACTGTTTTAATACATAGAACTAAATAAGCGACTGTATAGAAGACTGAGACTGTGAAAGAATTCAATGAATAAATATTCTCAAGTGTTGGTTTGTATATTGTCTGGTTGGTTGGAGGATTACACCGTGAGCTGACATCAGTTAGAGAACCATTGGAAAACCAACACGGAGTACTGGTTAGCCGTTTCGTCGTAGTTCGGGACTCTTCAGCAGTACGCACCCACCGCCCCAGTTTGAACCCAGGACCTTCTGTTTACAAGACGAGTTAGCTCGTGGACCTTACAGCAACTGGGACAAAATCCAATGACCAGCCTATGAATTCTAACTTCTGCTAATTCACAACAACGTGCGCCCGATTCACAATGTCTTCTTCGATGAGTAACTCTCCTCACCTTTTCCAATTGTTCTCTAAACGATGTCAGCTCATGATGAAATCCTCCAACCAATCGAATAAATATTCCCTCACTAATGAAACATAAAATGCTTACAGTAGATAAGTGAAGCAAACATAATAAATCCTTTGTTAATTCTGTAAGGATACTGTGAGCATCAGCCAGTTTATACATATGTACTTAAGAAGGAAACTGCTACATTTTATACTTTTGCCTGAAATCGCTTACAGATTTTAAAAATGAGAAATATTCTTTCTGTATCTTAGAGAGACATAGTTTAAAATCTTCATGATCTAACACAAAAAGTTAGTTGTGAATGGTGGGTAACATGGCAGGTGTAATTCATAAATTCAAAATCACCCCAACATGAAATTTTACAGCTGTATATTTGAATTTACAATCATCAAATCACTATATCAGTAATTCCGAGAATCTAGAAATTCAGTAGCAAGTTAAAGCAGTTTCGATAATGTAGTACTAAGACTTGACTATACTCAAATGTGTCTCTGGATAGGTAAATACATATTTTATCAAACAACTAAGTACCTGTCACATAAACCTTTCAAAGGTTATCATGTTTGCATTATTTAAACATTGGATATGTGACAGTTCTTCATATTAAATACAAATCTGGTGTCATTTGTAATAATTAGATCAGTAATAACATCTAAAGAATCGCACTTAATACTAGTTGCTGGAGAAATGTATAAAGATGAAACTACTTAAAAATCTCCACTGAGTCATATAAAATAAACGGCATTCAGAGAAGAGTTACTCTTTCCTGCGAGATCGTTCTCTAGCTGTACAATCGCATATACAGAGAGAGCAAAAGGAATATTTCCAAAGATGTTATCAAAATTTTAAATTTTTCTTTAGATGAAAAATTACGTAATGTAAAAAGCAATAATGGGGTAGAAACTAAAATAACATTAAATAAATAAGTTGATTAACGCAATATAAATCATAGACTTGAGGAGAATTCAACTACAAAACCAATGATTCACATGAACTTGAACGTGGATAAGCTACTGCTGTTGGCCTCATCAATGTGCATCTACCAATTCACCTGCTCGTGTGGAGCTAGGTATGTCAGCCGTACCCAGCGTTTGCTATCCAAACGTATCATCAAACATATAATCCCATGGTTTTAAAAAGCAGAAAAAAGACCCCTCTGCAGCTCTATCCTAGGACACCTGATCTAATCTGGACACCAAGCTAACCCACGAAGGAATTTCAAAGTTATCTACAGGATACGTAGGAATCTTGCTAAAAGAGTGCGAATCAACATTCTTCAAACCGTAGAATCGATGGCGAATCAGATGTTAAATACTGAACTCTGCAAACAAATTAAGTTTGTTCAGTTATTAAATCTACAACAGACCTGATCTACCTTAACACCAAATACGTAATTTTTGTTTTTTTCTCCTAATTGTATAATTTTCTTCCCCCACCCCATATTATTATTATTTTTTTAATTTACAGCTTGATTCCACACTGTATTTTTGGTACAAGTATGGAATTTTCAGCATGGATATCGGTGGCCCAAATTTTGCAGGCCGACCATAGATATCAGGTGTGCGTCGGCGCGGGCTCGAACCCCGGACCATGTGCCTCTTATTACCACTGTTGTTAACTTGACTCTTGTTCAAATTTCAGTTGAATTCTACTCAACCCCATCAATTATATTACGTTACTCAACTTACTTACCTAATTTTATTTTAGTTTCTACCCCATTAACGCTTTCTACACTGGGACAACGTTCAAATATTAGACAGAGGAAACAACAAGAATACTAAAGAATTTTTAGAAGCTTGGCATTCCAGTGAATCATCGATCATTAGACACATCGAGATTCATCAACCGATAAGAAGGAAACCTCACACACAAAGGGTCAAAGTTCAAGTCAAAGAAACAATCACTTCTAATACAAGTAAACTAGAAGGTGTGAAAACACATAAAAACAACCAATCACGTCCAAGGTCACCCACCAGGAGAGATGATTAATAAACTCGTGGAGAAATCTAAAATCTCACTTCAAATTGAAGGGTACTCTGAGGTGAGGATGTTGCCTAGTAGGACGATGAATGCTTCGCAAATTAACTATCTAGCTCAGAGAACACAATCACATCAAAATTTGTTATCTAAAATATACAATTCTAATGAAACACCCTTGGAAATATTCCCTTTGGTGCAAAGATAATTTACTTCATATATGCGATTGTACAGCTTGACAATGATATCGCCAAACAGAGTAGCTCTTTTCTGAACATCTTTTCTTTTAAAAGATGAAATTATAAGCCATTTTACTGCGTTATCCAAGTAAGAAAAACAGGATAAGAATTTGAACGTATTCATATTTTTCTATTCTTGTAGGAATTAACAACATGCAGCATAATGTCATTTAATTTATCGAGTATTTACTGAATGCAACCAGACACATGTTACTGCATTTAGTACATATTATTCACATCAAATGTGACAGATTATCTCGGATGGTGGTGACTGACACTGTAAGTGGCATATAAACTACATATGAGAACTTTATTGGAACAGCCTAATAATATATGTATATATATATGTCCATGGTAAGTTAGGTAGTGAGTCACCTTTGTCTCATTTTCTGCTTACTAGATAAACATAAATCCATGCAGCATACGTTTTTGGGAGCAGAGTATAGTATGAGTATGCATATGTATTATACATATGTACAACTTGTCTGAGCAGTACTTATAGCCTTTTAGGTTTGATTTACTTTTTGCAATATTTAACACTTCATATATTTGCACACATAAACCATGTGTTTAAAATGGAGTGCATAAAAGTGTTTCCGCTTCGCTTTTCTTAGAATAACGTACACACATATACGAGAAAGCAACTGTCTCTCTCCCTCTATCTTCACACCTATGTTCATTGTTTTGCTTGTAGATATATCTATTTCAAAAAGGTAATGTGGACTAGTGTTGGTTGTGTTTTGATATACCGGCTATGTGTTAATAGGTAGTCTTAGTGATAGTTCTACCATACTACTTTAATTATATGTTAAAGGATTTTTAAATAAATTTTGTTCAAATCATAAATTTTTTCTTATAATAGAGACAATTCAACAAACGAAAGCAAGAAATGGTTCCACTGCCTATTGGTGAGAAGTACTGCTTAGACGAAATAAAATGAAGAAAGACACTATTGAGTAAATTTTGCTTGAAATTTCAGTAGAAAACAAGAGTTGTACATTTGAAAAATGTCTAACAGAGTAGTGTTAAACAGCAGTAAAAGAGACCAACTTATAAATGTAGTTTATTCACTCAGATTGTTATGATTCAAGTATCTACTATACATAAGAGTTGGGTGTGAGTCGACAATGAAAATTTAGGAGAAAAGGTTAGAAGTGATTGGTAGAAAATGACGAAATATAACAGAGATAGTTAATTAATTAATTAATTTTCACCGGTGAAATATAAAATCTTATGATAGTTCTGTACACCGTAAAGTGCATCGGTAACAGTGCGGTAGAATGCTCGCCAGCCACTCAGGTGGTCCAGGGTTCGATACCCGACCAACGCACTCCCAAACCTGCGTCGGTAGCACAGTGGTTAGGACTCTCGCCGACCATGCACATGGTCCAAGGTTCGAGCCCTGGCCGACGCACACCTGATATCTATGGTCGGCCTGCGAAATTTGGGCTACCGATATCCATGCTGAAAATTCCATACCTGTACCAAAAATACGGTGTGGAATCAAGCTGCAATCAAAAATTAAAAAAAAATAATAATACAAAAACCTCGCTTAGTCGGTAATAAGCCAGGTAAAGAGGGAAGGTTTGGTTTGAGACTAGCAAACCTCCTCCCTCAGAAAATAAAATAAAATAAATAAAACCACTGCTACCGAAAATTTGAAGCTCTAGCCTGGAGCTCTATGTTCCACTGGGAACACAAAGGAATAAAAAATAACGATAGTAACTCCGTGAAAAATTGTTGACTGAATAAATCCCTTTGGCACGAAACAGTTCACGCTTTAAGACTTTACTTGCATAGCTTCTACAGCTCGGAAAAGCTTTTTCTTAAATCTTTACAGAATATTCTCACATTTCTTTTTATATTATTTCATCTTACCACCTTAGAATTTCAACTTCGCTTCCCAAATTTTGAATTACAGCGAAAATTCAACTAAGTATTAGTTATCAGTCATAAACGAATCAAACTTAGAGCCAAGTTATCGCTTTAGTCAATAAATATTCGCCTTCCATCAAATCACATAATGTAATGAAATCAACAATTAACAATAACTTATAATAAAATATCACGCTAATATAGCAGGCAATTATAAGGTGAAGCACAAGAAAAGATACTTAAAACTTACTTTTTACAGTAATAAATTTGACTTGTACCTCTGGGTGAAAATAATTTAGTGCTTTAACAGCTTTCGAATTTATTTGGTAACATTTCACTATGATTTACTGAGTTGTTTGTTATCAAACCGGATTTTAAAGGTTATTAACTTTAAAATGAGGGATAACTTTTATATCACAAGTTGACCTTTAAGATCAGATTTTTGTTAGGTCGCACTATGACCTTTTTGAATAGTTAATTCTATTGGTTGTTGTTTAGTTGACCTTTGACAATTCACTATTTTGGTAAATTCTGATCACAGTTCAAATGATTTGTACTCACATTTATTCATTTTTGTGTACTCAGAATTATATTCCAGGTTGTTGACATTTGTGCTAAGTCACTCTTGTTACATGTGTTCAATGTGGCCCTAATGAATATAGACACCAGTGGAATAATTAAGAGCTTAAAATTCTGTCTAGAAAGTAATTATTTTACATTTAAAGGGAGTTTATATAGATAGACAAATGGTGGTGCTATGGGTTCACCAGTTTCCCCAATAGTCGCTGAACATTGCATGAATAAATTCGAAAATAATATCTTCTCAAGCATACTCACTCCTAAAATATGGTTAAGATATGCAGATAATACTTTTGTAGTACTAAAACGAGAACTACACAATTTATTCCTGTATCCCCCAAAATCCAATTCACTTCGGAAGCAGAATCAGACATCGGTGAACTACCATTTCTAGACTGCCTAGTCAAGAGAAAGGAAAACGGACATTTTAGTATATACATATTCAGGAAGAAAACCCACTCCAATAAATATTTAGACTTCAAATCATCACACCCCATCAGTGCAAAGATTTCGGCTGTTTCAAGTCTTCTTAGACGAGCACACTCTCTGATAACGGATGAGAAAGAAAAAGAAGAAGAAATAGCAAACATTACTGAAACTCTCAAGCAAAACAACTACCCGAGGAACTTCATCAACAAAATCAACACAGACATTAAGTATGGCTGAAAATGCATTCCGAAAACATGGACATCAACAGTCGTCATTTTATACAGAGCAGAGACGTCAGACGATATCAGAAGAGTACTCAATCAGCTCGACATTAGAGTTTTCTTCAAAACATCAGACACACACACTACGAAACCACCTTGTTCATATAAAAGACAAAACCCCAAAAGATTCTCTATCTAATTGTGTTTGTAAAATAAAATGCTTGGAATGTGATGCGATCTACATCGGACAAACATCTCGAGAAATCAAAATCACAAGAAATGAACGCCGTCGAGCATCTCTTCGACCACCGAGAAATCCAGTTGAACTTGAAAAATCATCAGCCATTGGTCTGCATGCTATAGAATCAGGCCACAAAATTGATTTTTACAATATTGAAATAATCCAGAAATCACAAAGAACGTCTAATATCAGAAGCACTTTATATCAAGTGGAATCCAAATTGACTGAATAGGAATGATGAACTAAAACAGAATCTGTCTGGTTACAACACCTCCCTCTTCCATGAAGTGACAAAATCAACACGAATGTGATAAGCAAGTTCACTATGTAAACACACATACTACTTTCATAATTTAACACACTGATCAAATCCAACATTCTACACTTGATTTTGTTATCTCTACCAATTCACCAACTTGACAACGAAAAATGACCCCAGACTAACCAACGATGATCAAGTTAGTAAACTTTGTTTTGATATCATAACAGATGTACTATTAACTTTGATATTTGGTTTAGTGATCTTCATTGTTATTTTGACTTTCAATATGTCCTTTTAACTTGACCTAAGTCTATTTTCTCACCCCTTAACTCTATGTTGTATATATGCTGGGATTTTGTAAATTCCGGTTTAATAATACTTTGCTAAAGCTGTTAGCATTAAATAGCGAAACGTCAGTGAAAACAATCTTGTTTTGTTGTTTCTCATTCATTTGGAAATACAAAAACCTTTATAATAATGAATATAGATTCCGTTAAAAGTCTCTCTTTTCCATTTGTTCATAGTAGATTTCAGAATACACTTATTGTTCCAATCAATATTGCGGTTTTTGTCCCATGCGTGTGCAATATAGACGATTTTTTTCAAAATTGTTGTAAGCTTGTGTTCTTATGGGATGACCTTTATTTAGGCGTTTATGTTCATTCACTCTTATTTTGAGTGATCTGGACGTTTGACCCAAATACTTAGTCGGACATTCGGCACAAGATATTTTGTAAACTACATTATTTTTATTGAATTGAATCTTTGATTTTCCCATCGATTGATTGAACCGAAGTGCTCGGTCTCAGGTTGACATGTTGGCTTCTTGTGCAGATGCTTCGACGATGTTTGGGCATTTAATTAGTATACAACTGGTGGATGGTGGCTAGCAGTGGAATCCAGGATGCACATTTCGCCCTATTTTTGGACTCGTCAACTGGATGTACCTGCATTTCTCAGTGAGTGATGATGATGTTCTCACTGAGGCTCGAACCCAGTGTCCATAGTTTCCAATGCTAGAGCGTTATCCACTAGACCACTTTGGCCACGAGAGCCACCCCTTGTGCAATGGGTCTTATTAATTTAATTGAATTTTTGATTTTCCCCGTCGACTGATTGGACAGAAGTGCTCGGTCTCATTATTTTTATCCATCATTTTAATGGGATCTTTCACTTCATTTATCCTATTTTTAATTAGATTCGTTGATTTAAGCGTGATGCAAATCCGAATATTTTTGAGGTTTCTTCGAATTGCCTCCAATGTACCATTTATATATAGTATTGTGATTGTTTTTCGCCTTTCTCCTTCTTGTCATCCTGTGGTTTCACCCTTTTTACTCTTATCTGAGATAAATTATTTTGGGTAGTTGTTGTCGAATAACACTTTGAATAAGACGTTGATTTCTTTTCGCTGGTCATCTGGTATTGTTGCAAGTCTACGTATTCTACCTGCAGACCTTGTATAAATCCTCGTTTTACCGTGAGTAGATGAACAGAGTGATAATCAAGGAATCTCCTAGAATGTGTATTTTTTCCACATAGCGTCGCTTTATTGTGCCATCTGTTACTCTTTGTATTTTGCGGTTTAACATAGGCAGTTCCCTAATTTCATTCTGTATTTCCATCTTTTCCCTTTACGTTCCTCAGGGGAACATAGGGCTTCAGGCTAGTGGCTTAAAGTTTCTGTAGCAGTGTTTATTTTTACAGGATGGGGTTGCTAGCTTCACGCCCAACCCTTTCACTTTAGCAGCATTATTTCTGGCTTAGCGAGGTAAAGGAGTTCTTCGGCCGGGAGTCGACCCTGGATCATGTGCATGTTTGGCGAGCGTCCTAACCGCTATGCCACCGACGCGTAATGTGCGTCGGCGGCGGATGTAACTCAAAACCATATACGTGGTCGCAGAGCATTCTACCGTTGTGCCACTGACGCACTAAGTGAATTTTATTGAGTCAGCATGACTGTTTATGTGTGAGAAGAATTTCTCAAGATCGTTCTATTTCATCATTACTAACTTGCTGTCTGTATATCTCCGCCAACATTTTACAGATGACCTGAATGGTTTCAGTGCATTCTCTTCCCAAAAATCCACGAATATGTCAGCTATGATTGATAGGATGGCTGATTCCAAGGCTACTGCCTCATTTTGCTGGCATATTTTTTTTTCTCATTTCGGCTTTTTGATAATCTACCCAGGACATCAAATTCTCAAAGTAGTTAGTTTACAGTGTATTTTAAACTCCTGTTAAATTTAAAAGCAGTCAAAATTCTTGACGCATCCAAAATACGAATTCAACTTCGATAAGATTAAAGGTGTGGCGTCTAGAGTTTAATTACAGGAAAACTGAAATTCTTTTCTATTCACCACTGCCATGGAAACTTGTTAACACAATTTGAATGAATATTTTAAATAAAAAAAAGTTCCCTTAAACTTTTCTTTATTACATTTGCCTCAATATTTAGTCGTCACTTACTCATGTTTTAAACAGATTAAAGCATTAATAAGTATCAGCATAAGGGTACTATTTGAATAGAGCTCATTTCCGTTAAAACTAAGTGACATGCAGGTTTATTTCAACCACATGTAAAAGACACACCCACTTTTTGATTTACTGACTTAACTTCCTTCTTTCTATCTAGCAGAAAACTTAAACATCTAAAATTTACCAGGAATATTTGAAACGTTATAATTCCCTGATATCTTTCTGTCATAGAGTATTTTGAGTGAATCATGAACATCAGGTACTTACTAGTTAATATGACAGAAATCAGATAGATGAGAAATGAGTGGCCACGGTGTTCACTCAAATACCTCTTTTTTTCAACAGTTAGTCTTCATGAGAATGCATGAATAACAGTTTCATAAGAGAAGACCCCTAGTTTTAATATTTTCTTGTACATTTCCGAATATTACAGTTACTATTAGAAATGCTAATTTTAGATCGCCTTATCCATTCACAGACTGAAGCATAGATTTTGTTAGACAGAATAAATGACAAATAACCGGTTACTTTAAGTGTTTAAGATGGAAACTAACGGGTGTTCAGCTTCTCCAGATTGTATTTTTTTTTCACACAGTTCATCGCCGATCAGTTAAACAAAGACGCATCTGGATTTCATTATGAAGTGACGTCAGTCAGAGAGCCAGTAGAAAACTTTGGAGTACAGCACAACTGTTCCTTCCTAGCTTGGGATTCTTCAGGAGTACACACTCGCCACAAGGGTTCAAACCCAGGACCTCTCGGTTACAAGGCGAGCTAGCTCGAAGACCATTAAACCACTGGGACCCGATCCAGTGACAAGTCCATGAATTCCAATCTCTGCCAATTGACAATATAGCGCGGCTGGCACTAGCCAGTGTCATCACTGGCGAGTATCTGTCCTCACACTCAACCTGCTGGACCCTGCTGGTCACGACTTCCCACTGGAACCCAGGTAACTACCTACCTGAATAGGGCCAGTCGCCAGTGAGCATCTCATTGGTATTCAAGTGATGGTTTGTAGGGATTTGATTGCTTTCAGGATTTCATCATGAGCTGACATTAGTTAGAGAACCACTGGAAAACCTGGGAGTACTGGACAGCTGTTTCGTCCTAGTTTGGGAGTCCTCTGCAGTACGCACCCACCACCACAGTTCGAACTCAGGAC